ATGTTAACATAACTTAAGACTCCGAGTATACCCACTAGTAGATGTTTGTTCATACAACACAACTGAAGCTTATTTTCTTTCTTGTCCTTTTGGGTTTTCCCCAGAGAACACCTATTATGTATTTCTACTGCCTATTGTATACACCAGCTGTGTTTTTGCTGCCAGATGTTGCACCAGAAATGTCAGCTGCTGCTTGAGGCAGGGAGTGAATGCAATTAGAGGTGCCCTGGTGACAGCTTGACACTTATGGTGACAAAGTTTAAATTTCTAATCAGGCATGTAAGTCAAAAACCCACACAACTTGGATTCTCCTGAAGGCTGGACCAGCACTACACTGACATCATTTATCAGGGAGATGCAAAGATCAATGTGCCAGCAGAAGTCCAAATGGATTGGCTGTTACTTGTAAAATATCTGAAGCTAGTTTCTGAAGCACATTGTGCACGCAGTAGCTGTGAGGAGTCCAGCTTTCCAGGGCAGTAAGGAATGTTATTGGTTTAAAGTAGTTAATTGCTTTTATACTGAGACATTTGTTGCCATAAATATAAAAAATAAATAAAATAAAAGGCCTGCATATTATTTTCACTACTCATGTGGTTAGTTCCCATTTACTTCACTACTATCACTCCCTTTCTACTTGTCTGCCAATCACTTTTTCAAGTAAACTGCATTAAATCAATTCATAATCTATAAATTACAAACTTTGAACACAATCATTAAACATAATATACTAAGTACATTTAGTAGTAGAAATACTCTGTATTACATAGTTTACTGTAGTCATGAGAAGCAGAAAAACCAAAAATATCATGCTATGTTCAAACTAAATGGAGTCTGTTCCTAGGGCTACATGATCAGACCTTAACCCAACATCAGACTAATTTTGGATAGATTGTTCTTAGTTAAATGCAAGATGACTTTCTTCTTTTTCCCTTGTAGAAATTACACATGCAAGTGTGGTCTGTGTTTGTTCATCCAGCATAAATTTCTCACCTCTGTCCTTCATTTGCATTACTTTACAGTGCAGCTTGAAAAGTTTGCAAGTGAATGAGTAATACAAGTTAGCTGCTGCATGCTGGCCACCTCCATGCATGACCTATTATGATAGTGTAGTTTAAAGTATCTTACTGAAACATTTCTGTAATACTGTATCTGTGTACCAGAACTGCATAAATACTCTTGATGGCAACTGAGTTCTACCTGGTCATTTAGGACAGGTAAATGGTAATCCATGCTGCAGGAATAATTTGGGAAAAGGGTACTTCTCCAGATTTTGGTCAAGAGGGTAAATTTATAAATATTTATTCTTGTGAAAAATATCATGGGCTCAAAGTAATTCTGACTCTTCATTCTCTCTTGAAAAGACAGGTTTTCCAGAAATTGCTGGGCTACAGGGAGAAACATTTAATTTGGAATGGATGCTATCTATATTTTCTCTTCACATAAAACTGATCACAAGTAATTCTCTCCTGCATGACAGTGGGTTGATCTAAGTCTCAGGTTTATTTTGTATTAACATAAATTTGAAATGTACCATCAGAATGTGGACAGTAACACCCTGTTAACCTTTTGCCCACCAGCTCTGGAAGGGATGAGTCTCATCTGATATTTACAGGTGATATCAGTGCCTACAAACTTACAGTGGGATTGGTACCTCATCTCCCGTAAGAACATGCTCCACTTGGAGAATGTCCTCTCCATTTCCCCCACAAATAAGTCTTTTGCAAAGAGTATTGAAAAATGAGAGCAGCAGGGTCATTGAGGTCCCAGAGCCAGGATTTCATGGTTGCTTATCTCACTTGTGAGACATTGGAAAAGAGAATAAATCAACAAAGGAATTGCTTCACCTGGCTGAAAAGAAAATACAGCTTCTTTTCCAGGAATTACCTACAGTTTTGATTACCTTATTTGAGCATCTCTGCTTGTGATCACATGTGTTGAATGTGGTCTGCAAGTGTCTGGCTGTGACAGGGTCAACACACTCATCCTATCCAGAACCAATATACACAGAAAAGCAGGGGGAAGCATCATAAAATGACTTGTGCTGTACCACTCAAATAGCATTCACTCTTAGAGTGTTGTTTTCAATTTAAAATCTTTACTATTTAATTTTGTTTTTCCAATTTTAATTTTTTTTACTCTTTAAAAATATTTTATCCTTTTTTTTCTTTCTTTTTTTTTTTTGTCAAAATTGTCATTATTTTAATTATCTGTTCCATGGTCTGGGATCCCCTCATTCTTTATTACTGTAGGTACTGAGCACCAAATCTAGCAGAACTTCCAAGGCAGAGTGGTATGGTACAGCTTAAGACTGTGAGTGTGAATTTGTTGGGAATATCTGCAAAATATTGTAACCTTTTCCTGGAGTCAGAAACATATATCTGTTGAGAACTTTCTTGTTACATGATCTTGACATTGTGCCTGGAGTTATCTCAGCTGTTGTGAATTCATTTCAGAGTCACTTTCTCATTTCTTGCTGCTAAGTGAGCACTGCTCCCTGCATTCAGCACTCCCTGGGAATTTCACTGTGCTGTACTTGTCAGTGAGCCACTGCAGTGCACTTCTCCCTCCCTGCAGTGAGGCATATGGGTTTGAAATTGCACTGTGCAGGATAGCTCTGTAAGTTTTCCTCTCTGCCAATGGTTTCTGTTAAAAGGACAGGGCTAACACAATCAAATGCCAAGATATGAACAGCTGGTAGCCAAAGGAGATGAACCAACAACCACACAAAATTCACGGAAGGAAAAAAATTTCTTTCAGTCCAACAGCTACTACCCATTGTCTCTGAAATTGTTCTGTGGCCAAAGAGATAGGCAGTTTTCTCATTTCATCTGGGAGCAAACGCACTATACTGTTTCCAGTGGAAACAGTATAGTGCATGTGAACAACTTGAAAAAAACCCTGCAGTTAAAATTTTCCAGAATTAACACTCAAAACGACGCACAGTCTCAAAAACAGGAGAAGCAAAAATAATGAGAAATAATCTAGACACTAGGTGATCACACAGCTAAGTTTAAAGCTAAGTGTTATGCAGCACTGTTATTAATCTCTGGAGATGGGGGAGGGAGTGTACTAAGAATGTACATATTTACTTCAGGATTATAATTTAATTTAGAAACTAACATGATCGTAAAATGTACATGCTAGAGTTTAGTTTTAGGTCAGAGTGTTAAAAAAGATTTCTACCTTTGATTTTAAAAACATTAGCCCAAGTCATGTAGCACTACCTCATTTTGATCATTCTGTGTTTAGAAAATGCACAATTACTGATGCTGGCAAGAAGTCACACCAAGGGCAAATGAGATCAGTAAGAAATAAAACTGCATGTCACTAGCAAAATAGAAACTGAAATGAATAATCAAATTGGCAGATCATTCATGCAGCCTAGGCAGCAAAGTCCAAATAAATTATCCTGAAAGCCAAAAAAAGTCCTCTATAGCAAGCGTTTAAATCATCAATTTGAAAAAGTTTTCAGCACAGAATGATGCAATAAGGTTCATAATACTTAAAATATACAGTGATTTCATAGCTTTCACTGCTGGCCTTAGCACAGTAATAAATCTGCAAAAACCACAAAGTAGGAAAAAATTTATTTGAAACCATTAGACATATGTATTAATAGGGAGGATTCCTTCCCCATTTCTTTTCTACACTGCCCAAATTTTAGATTTTTTGTCAGCATCTCTCCCGGTGGAAGCAGGGCAGAATTCTAGGATGTGAAGGTGAATAGCTGCAGCAACACTCCCATGTTCTTGAATGTTGGGTTACAACTCTTATAGGCAGTAGCACATATACAGGAAATGTAATAATGAACAATCTCTGGCATTGAAAATATCTATCAATTACTGCAGCACTGAAGATGATGACTTCCACCTTATTTGAAGGAATAGCTTAGGGTAACTTTTGGTGGAACCAGTAAAATGCTCTTAATACACTTACGTACATCAGTACCCATGTTCAGTCAAAAACATTTAAAGAAAAGAAACATTTTCACTTTTCTGTAAAGGCTTCCCTTTTTTCCTCACTGGTGTTCTCCAAAGAAGTGTGCATGTCAAGCACACAGACAGAATATTTACACATGTACCAAAAATTCAGTGAAAGAAAGGGAGATAATGTGTAACACCTACATAATTGATCAAAGCCTACATCCTGAAAATTCTGTTTCCATCAGTGGTAGTATGACAATGCATATTAGCATGAGTGTGAGTCCACCAAGCACAAATAAAAGAAAAACTAAGCAATAGCTGTTCAGGATGGAAGTGAGGCTTAAGCCCTGCTTAAGCACATTATCAAAGTTTAAGGAAGATCATAGGCTTGGCAAAAGAGATATGGTCTCTTTAAACTTTGCTCCTGCTACCTAATATATCAATACATTTTAGATATTTTGCATTCATTCCTACGCTCTTGTCCATAAAAGAGTATACCTTTTATTTAGGACATTATATGGGAAATAACATAGATATAAATGATTCATATGTACTGCCCAATTATTTCAATGCTTAGGGTTAAGACAGAAGGAGAAACTTTAAGCTCTTTTCAAACTACTAAAATACTTCTCACGTTGCTTTGCCTAAGCTGACAGATAAAGGAAGGCAGGAGTCTAGTTAGGTCTCTGGAAAGAGTACCAGGAGCCTCAGCAAATAGTGGAGCACGTAACTAGAAGAAAATGTAGTGCAGAAATATGGATTGCACTCAGTAGAATTCAGGCCATTCAAGCCCAGCACTTGTTTTTTGTATTGCACAGCACAACAGATGAAGTTCTGTGGCCTACTTGTGCATAAGGTTGAAAAAGATGACTGTAATGGCCTGTTTGGCCTTCAATCCCTGTGTCTGATTTTCCTTTAGGCTACACTTTTACCCTGCTCTGGCCTATATTTAGGCATCCTTAAAAGCATTTTTCTACTGCCACAACAGAATGAAGGAGTTTCAGAGTAAACGAATCATACCCCCAGATTCTATATAACTTCAACATGAAAGTATTTTTAAGGAATATCTCTTACTTCTTTTTCCATTTGGAGTCCTTCTGCTCTGATATTTCTCTCAAATACTTCCCTCTTCTCTGTCTGTGGATTAGATTTTCTATACACAAGGATGTAGTCAATCCGACATTTCCCATCTCTAAAATATAGTCCATTGGTTTTGTTCTTATCAGGTACTTCCTGCAAAGAGAAAATCAAGCATTTCAGTAATGTTAATTTTCCTTGATAATTGCTGCATTGCTGTTGGCATCATCAGTTTTCAGTACTACTCAACAGGAGAGATAAGGAATCACAACAAGCTGTTCAAGTTTTAGGCTATTCACATACAGTGCTTCTGACTTCATCTGAGAGGAGCAAGACTTCCCTACTTAAGGGGATCACAGGGGGCATCAGGAGGCCTAAGGAAAATGCTTGGACATATGGGGATGGGATAGGACAGAATAGAAAACACAAGCCAACCTCCCTCCCCCACCACTCTCCAAAAGGTTAGGAATAATATCTTATTTATAAAATAGAGCAGGGAATAGTGTTACTGAAGTGTAAATTTAAAATTAAGAACTTAGTATGGCTGAATGTCTTTGTACATGCGAAAAGAGTAACCATTAACATTATCATTATGGTTTACTGTGGTGGCAAACACTAAAACCTGGCACGGAGATTTTCATTACTTTGCCCCATAGGACACAGACAACAATATGAAGGTTCTGTGCTGACCTCACTATACCTCATCAAACTAACTACTAAATATTCTTTGCTTAAGGAACAGCTGAGGATGGATTTATTTGGAAAAAATTATTGGTGTGTAGGTGTGGCAGCACATAAAATCAATAAAAGCAATAAATACTGTCTCTTTTCTTTATATATTAAAAAAAAAGCCTGTTCAAATGTTTGGTCTGACAGAGAAACACAACTCGATTTCACTGTTCATAAGAGGATGAACAGGTCACTCTCCTGAGGCATAAAATACCAAACTATTGGTCTTTTTCCAGTAAGTCATGAGATTAAATTCTCTACAGATCCTCCCCACAATTTAACACTACTTCTACATTATAGAAGTTCTGCCCAGGGTTTAGGCCTTCACTTTCAGAGAAGTTGAAATTGCATGGCAGTTTGCAATGGTTGGAGCAATGGTCTCATACAGGAAATGTACACTCTGAAGGATACATGGGAACAAACAGCACTCCCTCTGAGCAGTATAAAGTCAGGGACCTTCAGGAACCTCAAGATCAGTCCAGCTCTAAGCTGAAGGGAAGGTTAAGCTAATTTACCTCTGTTTTTCCAAAACTCACTCTGCTATTCCTGACAAAACCAGCCCTGCCCTATAATACACAATCAAGTCTCTGAAAAAAAAAAAAAAGAATATTTTGACTTTCACATCTGGGGGAAGGAGGGCATTTACAAATACTTTCCCCATAAAATAATTGCTTCTGAATTTAAATCACAAAGTGAACGTTATAATAGAAAAAATTATTTTTACAGGAAAACCCCCCAAAACAATTTTCCCATTCAAAGAGTTTAGTATATGCTATCTTTCTGATTCTCAGCAAGCATTTTGATTAAATGGAAAAACCAATGAAAGCATCCCAAATATTCCATCCCCTTGGTACATCCAGTTCCCTAAAGGAAGAAGGAAATTTTTCTAACATACTTTCATTACAGTGTCTAACTCCTGATACAACTTAGGGCAGACTTGATACAGTGGAACAGTTCTTAGAGCCCAAGAAGAAGGCAAGAAAAAAGATCTAATCTCTAAGGAAAAAACAGTAGCAAACTATTTATGTCTATACTGCATATCAGGCTGATAAATGATATTATCAAGATATGAGAAGTATTTTTCATAGAACATTAAATGTGAAAACAGCTCAGGAGACACATTTTATCTTTTTCCATTAAAAATCTCTCTCAAGAATACATAATAAAAGTCCCAACAGCCCAAAGGGTATTTAAGGTTATTTAAATAAAGGAAGGGTGTTTCAGGAGATTTAGAGGCCGTGGGTCAGCTTGGTGGTCCTGTTATGATTTCTAACCCTCCTGGCAAGCCTCTTGTTCAGTAGTAAGAGTCAATATGTGGTTTTAGTGTAGGAAAGGAGCTGTATAGAAAAACAATCCATGCTGAGGATCTGCTGTGTATGCCATGTAAACTTAAGGGCTCACTTTGGGCCCACTGTAATCTGGTCTGAAGGACTCACTGGATTTACATCCATAAGGAATACAGGTTTAAAATCCTGCACTGCTCTGGACCACAAAGAAATCATGGGTAGGGGGAACTGAGAGATCCACTTCAAATGTACACTCCTGATATGAACTCAGACCCATCCTGAGACTGCCTTAAGGAGTGTGTCCTTCTCCGCATGCAGGAATGACTCCACTGGAAAAATTGATTTGGCCCTTCCTAAGTTTCTTCTTTCTCTGAAGAAAATTGGTTTGCCCTGCACTCATCAGTGAATGCAGAACCTTATACTAAAGAGTACCTATGAGATTCAGCCAAGGGATTTGGCTTGTTGGACTTCAAATGTGATTGCTGGGGACAATTACCTCTCTTGGGCGTGTGAAAGACTACCAGCTACAGTACTGTAATTTTTCTCTCAGAAAGGCAGCTTGGGCATCCTTTTCTATACTTAAAGATCCTTTTCATTTTAGGAGCACTGTGTGTCAAAGCCAGACTGATAAACCCTACTACACTGTTACAGCCTCTGGGAAGGAACCCTTTCTCTGGCTCTCTGTTGCAGACTCTAAGGCAATTTTATAGACTGAGTCTGGACTTTCAAGAACTCCTGAGGATCTAACATGATACTGAGACAGTCAGGGCTGGTTCAGCAGTGTCAACTTCAGGACTTGTGCATCATCCAAGTATTGTAATACTCTGGCTCATGCTATGCCGGACAGAAATTTGTCCTACCTTCCTCCAGATATTGCATCTCCCTTACCTGTGTAACAAAATCAAAATTCAATTTTCCTAAAATGATGAAGAAAAAATATATAGCACTAGATCTGACTGGTTTTTGGTGAAAACCTGATGTAGTCGTGTATGTCAAACCTCCATTCTTTCATCTAAAAAAGAATGCTGGAAGAAAGTAGAAGAGTGAACACTTCACTCTAACAAGAAGCTCAGCATTTCTGTCTGTCTTTATGACTGTGCTGTAATACAATATGTATTGTATAATTTGCACTTGTTTTCCAAGGAATACAGCAGTTTGTATATTCTCAGGTGTTCAGCTGGGAACCATCAGCATTCACACATGACTCATATACATGCTTATGCTAAGAGAGGTTTAGGCTGAGGGGCTTACCCACACATATCCATACAAACCATACAACATCTGAACAGTGTATCTTTTCCTTCTAGAGTTCAGCAGGGACCAAGTACTTTGAAACTCTTTTTGGTAGGCTGCAGCATCCCTTAAGACCCATTAAGACTTTCAATTTTCACCTTTTTTCCCCCCATCTTATACCTATATGTGACCTACATTGCTATTTTCCTCAGCTATGATTACAAAAAGACCCCTTAAATCTGTTCATATTCCTCAAAGGTTTTCCCTTTCTCTTAAAAAAAAAACCAAAAAAGAACACATCTAGGAGAAAAAAAAAAAGGTTTTGAGGTATTGTTTGTTCAATATCATTACATTAAAAGCAGCATCTCCTTCAGATCATTTTATGTTATTTTTTCCTCTTTAACTTACAAAAGACATGTGCCTTTCACCTGTTCCTTTTTCCTACAGACCATATGGTACATGGTCCCAAAATGCAGCAGGGGACTATCGTGTCAGATTTGCCTATTATGGTGCAAGAAGGCAAAGAGAGTCCTTTGTACATTTTACAGGAAGCTAAGGAAGAGCTATGATTAAAGAAGATGAAATTGTGAGCAAGGTCAAACATATTCAGGGTGCCCTGAATTTTGTTGCTTTAATTATCTGTCTAAACATTCGAGGAGTGCAGCTCTCTATGGGCTGAATTTCTAGAACAAAGAAAATCTCTGTCTCTCTCCTCAGCAGTGTTGCACAAAAGAATTTGCACCACAAAACCCTCTAGCTCTTGAAAAAGATAATCTCTAATTGCCTCTTCTAAACTCTATCAAAACTAGTAAACAAAAGAGGGTCAGGGCAGGGCCCTCAGCAGGGTCCTGTGGTTTTCCACTCTTTTTTAATTACTAGCATGGTCCCTGCCAGTTCTGATCTGTTCCAGTCAGCCCTCTGCCAAAAATTCCTCAGGAAATCTTGCAGGCAACATCAGACCAGTCCAGAAAGGTGCCTAGATATAGCTCCATTCCTGAGGTGGAGGAAGGGAGAAAAGTCCCTCGTCCCTTCACTTGCTGAGGAAACAACCATAACATCCAGGGCAGTGAGAGGCAAAATTAAAGGGCATATTGTTCCTTTCTTCATAAAAATCACAGGAAGAAATTAGGACCCAAATTTTCATCATGGGTTCATGACACTTTGCCTGCTTTAGGACAGATTTTAAAAGGGATTATGTTCTCTGAATCACCATTATGCACCATCAGGTGATAATTGTTCCTCACTGGAAGGGAATGTGTGTCATAACTGACACCCAATGCTTCTCATGGGAGTTGTAGAAAAATCTCCTCCATACTCTTTCCCCTTAAAGGATGGATACAGGGAAAAGTTTCCCAGCATTTTCAGAAGCATTGAAGTCTTAGATTTGTATAGATGTTTCAGTGAGGGTGCATAAAATCAAAACTTTTGAATTTGAGATATTTTATATTTCAGCATTATAATCTTAGAATGGGAAACCAGTTCTCATGGGAAAGATTAGACATAATTTTATGTAGAGAATGAGATTTTAAACCAAATTACATTTATTACATCTTTATAATGGGCATGAATAAATATTGTTTTAATAATTCTGTGTGTCCTTACCTCTCCCACAACTTCCAGCCTGCTGGCATCATCAGAAGTACTGGTCAAGTTACCATGGTGAAGCAGGGAATCATCATCTTTGGAAGGGCTGTTCACACCTTCTAACTCATCAAAAAAAATGTTGACATCCTTAGCTACTAAAAAACAAAAATAAAAATATACATTCAAACCACCACTGAACCAAATGAAGACAGCAAGTGTAACCCATCAATAATTTCACTTTTTAGTTCTGGTATAATTATATACTATTTAATCTTAAAATCTGATAAGTGTTGTTGGAATGCTTTCTTCATCAATGAGCCACATAAAGATTTAGGACACCACAACGCCCCTCTGATGAAAAATAAGCAATCTGCTGTCACAATAAAACAGCCATAGCTATCTTCTCAGCTTCTTTTGGGGCAAATGGCTTAAATGGCTAGCTTCTGGATTAGTATTGTCTCTGGAAGTTTTTTAGGAGGCAGATTTTTAACCTACTATACAAAGTGTGACGTTCAAAGTTGTACAGACCCGAGGGGCAGCCAGAGGCAGAAAGCCTTAAATAAATACTGTTTCTTGAAAGGCATTGAGTAAACAAACCTGGGCAGATATTCCTCTTTTCACAGTTTGGCATGTTTTGATGCATATAAATCTGACATTTTCAGATCCACCTACCACACAGCCCTCAGTCTTGAAGCAACTGCTTACATCTACAGATTTAAGCTGTGGTAAACCAACCCTGACAAAAAGTAACAAAAAGTATAGGTATTAAGCTCTGGAGTAACTGCCAGATGGGAGGAGCAGGGCAGGCAGGTTCACTCTGCACTCCATGCACTACAGTTCTGGTGAAAAACATAAAGAAGAGATGCGTGCCAGGAGAAGAGAAATGCCTTAGCTGAGAATCACTAAAAATGCTTCAGCTGTGGATGGACTTTAGCTCTCCAATTTCATGCCTCATAGACAAAATCCAAAATTACAAAAGTAGAGTTATAACTGTTAGAAGGCACCTCCAAAGGTCCTAGCTTCTGAGCCTCTTCCACTGACTACAGTGGGAGCAAATATCTCATAATCTTGACAGAAATTAGTCTAAACCCGTATCCTTATTCACATTTCTTGCAAGCTTGACTGACTTTTGGAATCATTGTTCTTTTGTGCAATAAACTCCTGTTGCTTTTGCTTGTCCTCATTTCCCCTAATTTAGTAACAGGCAATTGTAATTCCTGTTGGTGAGAATCTATAGTAACAGCTGAAATGCTCTAATTGCTGGCAGCATCTTAGTTCCATTTCCAACTACTGGCTGCAGGTGTAAAAATCCATTCCCCCACTGTGGAGAGACTGGATAGCTGCCAGAAATTAACAGCCACTAACTGTTCCCAGTGATCATGAACATTTTGTGACCTCCTTTTCACCTTTCCCTTCTTCAGGGGTCATAGCCCAGTTTCAGAGTCCTCTTAAAAAAATCGCTGATGATACCAACTCCCCAGTCTCTGCAGGTGGCCTATTTTTCATGCTCACAAGCAGGAGAGTCTTATCCATAATATTCATCCTTAAAACCGGCATATGTTGCAATTTAAATATACTACTCTTTCCCTGTCAATCATGAGCATGGGGAAAAGTTTTCTCCCTTTTTGTACATGTCATTTACAGCAATAAAGTCTATTATTACATCTGTAGGCAATAAAAAAAGAAAACCCTATCAGAATATTCAAGAATCCTTCATCTTCATTTTCATGCATAAAATAGGGACAAGGTTAATGAAAGACATTGTATTCTTAACTACAAGAGTTTTGTTTGGAAAATGACTAAAAGTTCCAGAAACAACAGAGGAGTCCTCATGTCCAAATAATAGGCTAATGTGCTAAGCTAAGCGCCATAGTTTGTAAGAGAGATTCTGAGTTTCTGGTCTTGTTTAGTTATATATGATGAAAGCCTGCAGCTCCTCAGTGTCCTAGGGGAAACCGCAGAGGCTTTAAAGGCAACAAGGAGATTCCAATTTGTAGCACAGGTAGCAGTAATATTGCAGATTTTTCTCCCACCTTCATTCATTTCAGTCCACAAAAACCATACTAGAGATGCTTATAAAAGGGAGGTGAACTGCCACAACAAACCACAGCACAGCCCAACCTCATGTCCTTCACTGTCCCTACTCTTTCAAAAGTCACAACTAGAAATATTCCACCCCATCAGATAATAATGTGGATGTAGATCATGACCAGATTTTGCGCACAGGTTCATATGAGAAAAATAAATCTCAGTATTCAAGAGAAAGAATAACTGAAACAGAAAACATTTTGAATTACTTGAACTTCACTTGAAATGAAACCCATCAGTGCCTCCATGATAGTGGCACTTGAATCTGTGTATGGTTAAAACCTCAGTATAATCTGAAAATAAGTGTGGAAAAAATCCCAAAAAATAATTAAATAGTGAAGCTTTCTGAAGATTATTCAAGATACATTTATCTGTTGCAGACAGCATCAATGAAAGCTGTAAAAATGAAAGTTTTGCCTGTTCGCTGTACCCGAGGGAATTGAAACTATCTTTGTTCTGACATTAAGATTGCTTTGATATAAAAGATGTGGCCTCTGGGATACTAGAATTGCTGCTTCTTGAAGTGCTGGTAATGCTTTGGGTTGCAAAATTCATAGTTTTTAAGTGGATGTTTTGAGATACAGAGTTTGGTGTGTGTGACAGTGAATGTGTCAGTAGCCTTGAAACACAGAATTACTGGATTATCCTGAGGACTTGAGGAGCCAAAAAAAAATCTTATTTTAAGATAATTTTAAGGTACAATCCATCTCAGCAGTGAAGAATTTGTGGAAGCAACTCTCATCTGGTTAGTGAAATTAGGTACCAGGACTTGTCCAGATTGCCTGCAGTGGAAAATTGTTTATATCAGAGATACACAGACAACTGGCATGTTGGTTGGTCACTACAGAAAATATGGGCCCCCAACATTTGCTGAGATAATTTTTCTACCCCAAGTCTCCTTATATTCTTAAAAATAAGTTAATAAAATACTGTTCTACAAAATCAAACAGATAATTTATATAGCAATTCCTGTTTGCTTTACATTAGTAATGGTGATGGTACTTCCAACAAAACTCTCCTGCTTCTTGTAGGTAGCTCAGCCTTTCCACTCCAAGGGACTGAACACCTCCATAGCCAAATGTTGTTAAAAGGATGATCAGGGCTCCATCTTGTTCCCCTCAGACCCTGATGTGCTTATACCGACAAATGTCCTTAACAGAATGATATATAATGGCTTTATTATATACATAAATGTTATTTGGGAGACAGACTGCTGCTACTGTACAGTCATGTGTTTTTAAGCAGTGAAATTTAACAGGAATACAGAGCAGCACATGCATTGCTACAGGAGATATTAAGAATTCTCCCTCTGGTTTTAGATCACCATAAATATGCAAACTCTTTTCTCCCCCTCATGCTCTATTTTCAAAAAAAAAAAATAAAAATTAAAATGACTTGATAATTCAGAATCCCTTGAAGAATAAAAGAAAAAAAAAGTGGGTATACAAATATTTTTTATCTCAAATGTAGTAGAACTATATATTCTAGAAACTGGATGCTGATAAATTCTGAGCAGGAGACCACACACCATCTCAGTGGGTCCACAAGTCACTTCAGATCAAGATGTTGCTATAAAGTAGGACTCAAAAAACAAGAGAACTCTTTTAACTTTCTGAAGGTGGATGCTGAAACTGAAGTCCCTAAAAATAAGAACTTTCATTAAAAATTGGGACCTGACTGTGTTATTGTGTGAGAAGATGGAAACATGCTCAGAGTCATGCTTCTGTTCGTTGTCATTTTATGAGCAGAAGTCCCACCAAGCCATCAAGTATATTTTCACTTTGGATAATACTAGCTGAAGAGCAATACTTCAAGCTTATTTTAGCAAGAGAAAAAATTATTTGGTTTCTAAAAGCATCATTCAATGCTAAAACCTGGGAATAAAAGTAACATTGACTGTTTAGAACAACCACCCTAGAAGGAATATTTAGATATGTTTATCCCAATTAGATGGGATTTGCAACAGACTGCAGGTGACAACACCCCCCATGGCACACAACAAGCCTCTGCAAAGTGGGTTGTACAGAATTCCTTCTGTCTTTGATGAAGGAGATGTAGCTAAAGGACATAGAGATTAACTTCCCCACAGCACCTGTGCCTGGATAAAGGAAAAACACTCTCTCCCAAGCTGTAAAAGCTGCATCCTTCTCAAATGGCTTGTGAATAATCCGTAAATCAAAATGTTAATTCTAGAAACACTCCAAGATTAAATTGCTTATCCGTATTTAACCCTCTTGTCTATTCACCTCTGAAAGACTTTGCAGTGCCTTTTCAGCCTCTCCAGTCTGCATCCTGACTGCCCCCAGGCCTAAACCTGGGCTGTGCTAGTGTGGAGAAGGGAGAAGACAAAACCTAACATTATGATTTCTGACAGGAAAAGCTTTTTACAACAGAAAACATGGAATTTATCCTAAACTTGTAGCTTAAGTAATAAGGTGATTCAATTTCAAATTATTACCCCCATTATCTAACCTGAGCATTTTCCTTCCTCCCCCAAACTAGTACCACCACTAAACAGCCTGATTCTACCACGGTGTGGTTCTTTATTCCTGTGGCAAATATGAGGCAGAGTCTGGGTTTTTATACATTCTTATTCATCCTTTAGCACTCTAAAATGCAAGCTGCTGTTTCTCACTCTAGAAAATTGCTATACCAAACACCCAGTTGAAAATCAAACTGGAAAATAAGGAAGCCAGCAAGCCATGGCTTGCATTTTGACTCTCAGCCTGCATAAGAATTTCAAACTATTAGGAAAAATTCTCAAAATTCCAGATTTTATTGGATTCCAGAATTGCATCTGTTTTGGGTAGGGGGGGTGTCTTCCACTGTTATTAACAAGAGTAGCTCTACTTCTAGCACAAGTGTTGATATCATTCCACAGTTGGACTTAAGAAGAGGGAACCAATTAATTCTTAGTCCACAGCCCATTACACATAAAAAGAGATAATTCTGTGCAGCATCTAAGACACACGGACCTTCACTTGTTGTGACAACCTCATAACTCTCCCAAAAAATACCGGGTGCAAAAATGTGAATACAGCCCAAAACTTTGGAAGAACTGGAACTTCAAATCCACTATTCAAACCCCAGCTGCAGCATTTTAATAATATTATTAGTTCACACAGCTACTCAGGAGTGCAAAGCATTGAATAAACTACCAGGAATCTTATTATTTCTGATTATGACTGCATAGAAAATATATACTGCTGGAATTCTTTGGCACACAGCAATTCAAATCTTTCTATGACTTCTCTGATAGTAAAAGATTTCTTACTAGCTTCCAATAATCCATTGAACTTCCTGAGAGATTTTAATAATAGATACTTATCATTCAGTTCATCACTTTGTGTCTGCCTTCAGTCATAATTTCAATACATCTCAATTGAATCTTCTACTGTAAACACAATTTTGCATCCAAGGAAGAACTTACTTTCTTGTATTGCATTAAGAATTTCTGAAAAGTCCACATCTGTCTTCTGTATGTCTGGTTTTATCCATATTTGCGTTTCCAGCTGGTTAACCTGCAAATCCTCTCTTCCTTCTGAAGAAATTGAAGAGATTGATGGGGTTTGTGACAGTGCAGTAGAAAATCCAGCCAAGGGGCTTCAGGTGAGGAAACATACACATTGAATGAAGGTATTTCCATTTTTCCTCCTCAGCAGAACCAAATTTTCTTCAAACCAAGGAGCTTTAGATAGAACATGGACTGACTTAAAGCTAAATAGAATGAGACAACAACATTCTCTGCTATCTGCGATGATGCAGAGTCACCACTGGCAAGTCCCTCATTCAGGCGACCATTGCTGCCATGCCATGAGCATCACCTCACCATACCAGCTATGAAAGCAGTTCCCAAATGTGAAAACAAACAAGAGATGTTGTTACAAATGACACAGGAACAAACAGACTGAAACAAAACACACACACAAAGTAAGTTGCAAGACAGAAAACAGTCATTAGGACAAAAAGAGCACTGACAGTGCGTTTCAGACGCAGGGCACTGCAAGATCTTGTATGCCAACCTGATGGCATGACATAGCCTGGGAAGGAGTCCAGCACTGGAGTCCATTTCAAATGGATTCACATTGGTATGTAATGGTTACTGTTTAAAAGCATTGCAGAATAAAAACTTATTCTGGTGGGTCACAGTTTCAAATCTATTTACACACAAAAATAGGCACAAGATTTGCCCATTTCGGTGCTCTTTCAAGATTAGCAAAGAAAGCAGGAAATCTTGAAAACAGAGAAAGGTGGCTGCATATTGAGAGCAGACAGAAAATGGCCAAACAGGCACAAGATGCTGGCTACAGGGTATTTGGATACAGAGAGAGAGAAAGAGGGAACTACTGGGAATACCTCTGGTTTTTGAAGATTAGCTGGAAAACCTTTCACAAAGACATCTGTTAGACATGATGCTCTTGAGTACCTAAAGCACAGAGTTAGCAAAGACCTTCAGTGGTCAGGGTGATATCTGGGGAAGGAATTAATGACAAAAAGGCCGAGGTAGAAGAACAAAACTTCAGGTCATTCAGGTTACTGTGCTTCACTAGAAGCTATCACTCATGCTTTGGAAAGAAGCATTTTCCTTTCATCTACAGGCTACCTATAGCAAGATGCTCTTATTGTGAATTCTGAGCTAGTCCATTGTATTTTCCCCTTCTCCTTGCCAAATTACTATCTCACTACTGCCTTGATGGGAGCAACAAATAATATTCCTAGGCACAAAATTACTCAAAAGTGCCCTAGAGGCCCTTCTTCACTTTTTGGAGTACAGATCTCAAAATAGGTACACTTTGACCAGCTTCATCCTTTATTATTTTTCAGTGTTAAAATATTAAAAATTAAAATTATCTCGTGCTTGCTTCAGCATATTCTTTTGTTCCACAGCAAAGATTCACTGTTAACATCAGAGACAACTCCCCTTGTAGATTCCTGCAAAGCAATCTGTCACAGCAGCAGGAGTCAGCATTTAATGATGTACAACAAAGAGAATTTCTTAAGTGAGACAACTGATTATTCATACAATAGCAGCCTCAGGAAACCTGCAGATGACCTCAGAGATGAGAGGCTAAGATTTGCCCCAAAAGATATTTCTAAGGCCCAAGAAAAAATACTGCAACTGCTGAAAAATACAGACAAATATGACGGAAATAGAAAAGTTATCAATGGATAGCAATTCATCTAAGCAGCTTTGCAAATTATATCATTCTGTTTCTTTTTAAATACTCAGCTGCTACTTTTAACACCATTTCACACTTGCATCCTCGCATCCAAGAACCTTTGTTCTGCACTTCAACCCTAGTTAGAGGAAATTAATGACAATATGGACAAATATAAAATACTCTTTCTTCCCTCAAGTCCTCCATCCTTGTTACATTTAAGTCGCTGTTCCTCAGAAGAGATGAAGGTAGCAGGATCCCTGCAGCACTCCAGCAGATCTGAACTAATTGGGCCAGGGAGAAAGGAAGTGGCAGTCACCTATGGAGGTCCCAAAGTGCTGATATCTGAGGGACTATCTAACCATAGACTTTTAATAAAATTAAACTCTTGGAGAATGTACGCAGCTGACTTCAAAGCCCCTCTTTAAATAACAAACCCAAAATGCCTAGGAAGTGATCAGAAAATGACCAGCCTAAACCTGACTGTATTTCAGACAATGAACTCAAGACAATTTTGCTGCATTAGAATTTCCTCTCCTGTATTTGATCCACTAGCAGTATAGGGAGCTTTCAGCAACACACAGAAATGACAGTGTTCTATACTTGTCTGATTCCCAGTAACCTTAATGTCTGGCCTCACTGCACAAGTATCAGATTAACAGCATCCAGTCTGATTTCAGTCAAAATTGTAGGGGTAATCTTCTACCAATCATTTGTGATAAAACACATAGCTAATTACAAACTTGCCTTCACCAACACAAGGGGAAAAAAATATCTACCAACAGCATAGCTTTTATATTAGGGGTTTCAACAATTCTTTCTTCTCCCATATTAGGGGTTTCAACAATTCTTTCTTCTCTCATGACCTTAATGATGTCAATAAAGACTTGACTTAGGGCACTTGGGCTTCTATTCTCCCTCTCTGTCAGCATCTACTTTTCACATGGGACTACTGCATTTTTTTAGCTGAGAGAAACATCACCTATGTGATGGGCTGTGGACTGGCCAAATTAATGATTTCTGGCTTGTTGTCAGACAGAGGTTTTAAACCAGCAGCTCTGGAAAAAGCCACAGTGACCTCATCCATGTTCCGGAGATTTATTTTCTCTGCCTTAACACAGATCTTCAATACTATATGCAAAGACAGTATCTGATGCCACTGTTGCTATTGATGGATCACTCACCTGCCTTTAGCATTTCCTTCTTGCTTTAGCAGCTGCTGATTTATGTTTTATCACTCACATATCCCACTGAGTAAAATCTAAGCAATATTGTCTGAGAGGATGGTAAAGACTCTCTTTCCACAGAAGTATGAGAAATAGACACATACAAAAGTGAAGTAAAGATTAGATTTTAAAATTTTATGTTTTTTCTTTTGTAAAGATCAGTCTCAATTTTCTCTCAGCTTATTGAGACTTTCTAGTTCAACTGAAATAATATTTTAAATTACCTCATGGCACTCCCTCTGATTTACTTATTGATGCATAAAGTTGTGCATAAACTAACATACTTTTTCTTTTATTTGTCTTGAAGAATCCCAATTAATTAGGTTAGGAAAACAAACAAGTTTTTTTAACAAGACTTTTAATTTTAGAAGCTGAAAGAGAAGGCTTGTTCTCAGTCAGAATTTTAACATACTTCTAAATATAAAAATGACCAAATGTATCAGAGAAGCAATTTGTGTACCAGCATAGTTAATACAGTACTGATGTTAAACAAGGGCATTCCAACTTGTAGTGAAGGAGATTTTGCCATGTGGGTGGATGCTGCATTCACAGAGCCATCTACCTCTAAGAGGGTAATACTTAGCAAGAACAAATACAATTCTGACATAGGCAGGTTTGTTTTGCTACACTAAGTACTGCATGTAAGTTCTACAGAGAAGTTGTTCCTTCTTAGCAGACCTTTTAAAGCAAGCTGAAAGCTGCTGTGCATGGTCCTCTTTTCACTCTAGGCCAACCCATGTCAACAAGGGATAAACAATCATCCCTTCAGGCATATTTTTTATTGGCTTCTTCCTGTGAGTTCTCAGTAGATCATCTGCATCGAAATCAGAGTTTCAAGGGGAAACTGCATTAAGCATTTTCTATACATGTTAGTCAGGGGTCTGCATGTGTGTGCACAGCACAGCTTTACTGCTCTCAGCTCTGGCACTTCTCATGTCTGTGACAGGAGTGGAAACAAAATGCACAGCACAGCTGGCCTTCCCAGGACCTGCCCCATGACTGCACTGGACAGCACAACTGCAACTGATGAAAACCATTTTTGTTCAATTATTGCTTCAGAAAAAACCACCAGCTGTTCTATGAGTCATAGAATGTATGCAAATATATATTAATATACACATGTCTTCCTAGCAAGATAAAGTTGGCTTGAAAGCAGTAGCTCAGAGATAGATAATTATTTCATTAAGTGGAAGGCTGATGTATCAAGTCTTCCAAGTCTTTCAGAGAGAGCTGCTTTTGCTACATTGGTCAGAAACTGTTTTCTGTCAGAATCTACATCATGTTTTTTTTTGTTCCTCACCAACCAGTATTGCTATATTCATGCTGCCTAGGCATTTTTCTATCCCATAGAATAAGGTGAGTACTGTATACATTGATTCTACTTCAGTGATTACATTAGATAGCTTTTAATATATCAAAAGTATTCAATTTTTTGTTTCTACCCTTAAATCTCTCATGTACAGTAGTGCAGAGTTTCACAACACAAAAATATCATTGCTAAGTATGTTCTCAGAGCAAGATGCAGAAACATGTCTTGCATCCTGCCTTGAGGTTTCTCTTCTCTGCACAGAGGAAAAAGTCTTTGCAAACTGCAACTTTGGTTCACCAGCCCAGCACTTGACTCCTTTCTGGAAAACGACTGTTACCCAGAAACTTTCCTTCCACCCTTGCTCCTTCCCAGCAGAACTAAGCTAATCCTCTACCTTACACCTTCAACACAATTTCAGATTTCTACTAAGGATGTAGGGTGTGTGTGATGAGTTCCCTTCTCCTTTCATTTTGATGCTTTTTTCCAGTTCCGGGCTCCTTCTGAAGATGGCAGTGGGAGTAAGGACAGGAAAACTCATGTGTTAATTCTCTGTTTCTGAGAACTTGCCGGCATATTTTTACATGTAATGCGGTGTAACATCAGAGAAAGACCAGCTATCTGCCACACCTATACATGCACAAGTAGTGACAAACTGGAATATCTTAAAAGTGTCAGTTTTTCACAATACAAGGTACCTCCTTTTACCAATGTATGTCACACGGTTTGCCCTGACTAGCTACAAACATCCACATTTTTGGGAAAGTTTGAAGTAACTGTTAATGATACACATTGAGAGGCCTTTGGACACTTCTGATTTAAGACAAAGTACTCCATAATAATAGCATTA